TTATGGCAGTTGTTTTTCATTAATTAAAAGCCCGTAGTTCACAAATTAACTTTCTAGTTAAGTATCAAACAAAATGAAAGCCTCCAAAAAACCCGCCTTCCCACCCATCACTCATTAGATGAAAACTTGACGTGATCTGCGCATGTCATCGCGTCCGTTAAGGAGAAATAGGAATCCCGTGGACCGAAACCGTTAATCCTTACCCTTTTCCGCGCGGGATACCGGAGGTGAATACATTAAACACAGAGACCCTCGATTAGCAGCTGCAAAAATTAGCACCAGAGCGAGCTGATGCAGGTGGTTAGAGAATCGACTATTATGTGGCCCCGTGCCCTATCCGATTACGATGGAAGGGGGGCCCTGAATGCCGGCAGAAGATGCAAAGGGGGGGGGGAAGCGAACCCAGCTGCAGGTACAATATGGTAGCGACGGTTAGTGGTACGGCGCGTGTGCCCTTGTTTGTTCTTTTAGGCACCGCTTCCGTTGTGCCACCTGCCCCTTGTACCACCGAGGGGGGGACTTACTCATCTCGGGCCTATGAAAATTCACCTCTCGCGCAGCACTCGCAAACGATTTTACGACGTCCTTAAATTGTTTGACTTTGATTAAGGGTGTTTGCGGTGGGATTTCGAATTTTACGTAATGATGACGAGATGATGTAAAAAGAAGAAAAGGAGTTTTGTGGTCACATTCGCAGAGCGGTCTCTTTTTAAGATCTTTCATGATTTAATCACGCCTTGGAAGCGTAACGAGTGGTGCTGTTGTTGTATCAGGCTGCCTTGTTGCGTAAATATGGCATGATGATCGAGATGGCTAATAAGTTTTAAGAGATTTTTGCTAATGTTGTTGTTTTTCTGGATGTTGTCTAGACTAGAAGATATACAGTGCAATGAAGGTCGAGTATAAACATGAGATATCTAATTATATAAAATAGGATTCGGAATAATAAAATGAAATCCTGTTTCACATAATGGGGTTGTTTTTATTGGTCAAGTCACTGCATCTCCTTTTTACCTATATTAGAGCAGAGGTGAGCAAACAGCGACCCACCAAGACTGTTAGAAAACCAAACAGACAGTAAATGCACTTCATATTTAGGCCAGCATATAATTTTGCCATGTACCACTTAACTATAATTGTCTCCTGTCCCTCTAGCTTAGAGGTTCCCAAACTTTTTTGTCCCCTTGACATGTTTTGGGGTAAGATCCCTACATACCAAAAATTTGACTTTTTCAAATTTATTATCCTAAACCTCTTTTTTTGACAGCTGGTACAGCATTACTTTAAAAGATTTATATTTCTAACTGTAGTGAGTATAATATTTAAAACTAAACTAAATCCTAATTAATTAAATTTAAATTTAATTAATACATAAAATAACTGATCAACAAACAAACGCTTTTAAAGCGTGGGATGAATCTGGTGCTTTAATAACAAATATTTAACATTTGATGTCTTGTCAGATTTAACCCTGAATCCCTTCGGTTATTCGCAATGGCGTAGCTAGCTCTGAGGGGGCCCTGTATCAAAATTCCTCCAGGGCCCGTTTTTTAGATATGAGAGTCCTGATAGTGGGACTAGTGGTGTAACGTACACCCCCGCATTGCGGGGGCCAAAGCTTGAATGACACTAAGTACGTATTTGGACTTGGGGCCCAAAACTTGAGTTTGCAGGGGCCCTAGTGTTTTCCGTTACGCCACTGAGTGGGAATGTAGTTACACATGTTGGAGCCCTGTAGCTAGGGGTTCCCGTATCATTGATTCGGCGGTAGCTACCCCCCTGGTTATTAGTGTCTAATCTTTCTTTTTTTTTTCTATATGTTTTTATTTTGGAGAGTTCGGTAACCGCGCTGAATTTCCATCCTTTTAAGAAAAACAATTAAAAACTTTCTCAAGGTATTCCATAATTCGGTAATTATAAAAAAAAAACAGGTATATCATTTTAAAGACAAAAAATTGCTGACATCAGTTTCTAAACTTTACTTTAAGGTCTTCGTTAGTGGCTATTCCAATCAGTTCCCCCTATAAATTGCCTTTTTTTTTTTCAATGTGACCACATGAATTCACTGTTTACTGTGGTATTACTATAGTCAAAGTATTCTCAAAACTAGTTTCAAAATCTTAGTAGAGTTATTTAAATGTTGAACGTAGGTTAAAACGTCGTTTTCCTGGTAGATTGAGAAACTAGTAAAATTGAGAAACTAGTAAAATTCGGGAAGTCCAATATTATACCCCTTTAGCTTAATTCTGGCAAGAAACACTGAAATTATGCTCTTTTTTTTTCAATAAAATGTATGCTGTCGCTTTTTAACTGCAAATGAACCTCATTGAATTTATTAAATAAATCTGTTTAAATCTGGTTTCCACGATTAAATTTTCTTTTAAAATTAAAGTCACGATCTGGTTTAGTCTATCGTAGAACCCCATTTACATCTCATGGACCACCAAATTATTTTTTCTCTGACGTGAACCTCTTGCAGGTATTCATAGACCCTGGGGGTCTATGTAGACTACTTTGGAAATCACTAGATTGTGGTTTTGACAAGTCTTGTACTCTTGAAGAATGCATAATACGACTTTTTTCATTGCTGTTTATCTTTCAATAATATTGATCCGATGCTATCCTTTAAGATCCATTCTTTACTTTTTTGAAGTATTGGAACGTCAAAAATGATATAAAATTACATCACCAATTATGATTTTAGACATGATACAGCTTCAATCTTTTCCAAGATGATTTAAGGCAGTGGTGAGCAAATAGAAGCTCGCAAAGAGGTGGGTTTTTTTTTTTCCGGTCCACAAGACACTCAAAAAGCCAAAGAGGCAGTAAATGCTCTTTAGTTTGGGTCAACAAAAAATTTTCCGTGCAAAGTTTTTCTTTCATGGAGATCAACAAGATTAAACGTAGATGCAAGTTAGCTGAAATTAATTTGCAGAGACTGTGATGAGAGTTTCAACAAGCGATCTGTCCTGATTTAAATAAAACTGTAGAAAAGTTGATAAGCCTCATTCAACTGATCTAAAATTAAATGTTCTTATCGCTATAGATATGAAATCAGGACAATAAATAAGCTGAATAAAACTGCCACAATTTTATTTAATATTTATTCATTTTTATATGTACATTTTTTCTGAGATGCAAAGTGAACTAACGAATGGAATCATTTTAAAAAGATGTCATCCTCCTATGTCCACAATGGGGCCCTCAAGCCAAAAAAAATTGTCCTCTCCTGGTTTAGTAGTTTTCAAAAATTTCCTTTTCTCATATATACTTCTTGATCATAACTTTTTCCCTTTCATGGTAGGAGGAAAACAGTTCCCTCTATATCTCGATTCAAAGCTCGAATGTATCTTAAAAGTATATCGATATTAAATTCTATTTTTTGTGCATCTTGAGATGGATTACCGATCCTACAAGCTTTCACCCCCCTCTAACGTGTGTGGACTTTAATCCTTGTCAGGTAGAATATAAGCCCCAAAACAGTGAGGCTTTTCAGTAGCATCATGACTCCAACTCACAATTCAATTCAAACAACGCCAACCATAAGCTCTTGACAGTGACTTGGCCGCGGTAGCCGAGTGGTCAAGGTATCAGATCGTGGTTGACCTTGTCACGAGTTCGAGCCCAGTGCCACTAAAGACCCGCCGTGTAGAGCAGAGATGAACGTTAAATCTGCCGAGAGCTGAAACTTCCTCCCGTTAGTGCGGTGTGGTAGTTAGGAGAGGGGGTACCAGCTCAGGTGCCATTGACGTCACGTGACCATGGTTCAAAATGACGTGGTCCGTCGCCAAAAGCCCTCGTGTAGCTGAACAGTGCGACGTTAATATTCACTTACTCATTTGACAGTGACTATATGGCTACCATGGCATTAAGTGAATCTCTAGATCTAATTCGGTTGCTTACAGAACTTGCACACATTTCGAATATTATGGCTTAAGATTTGTTTCAAAGGAGAGGAAATAAAGAGAGATTTTCTCTGTTTTTCCATGAATAAAAATTCGAGAATTTTATGTATTTTACTGCCTAAACACTTATAATGTTTTTATGTATTAAATTACAAATTGTATATTTAAAAAAAATAGAATTCTATAACCCCGAAAACATACACGATAGGTGGGACTGACTGCGTAAGTCCAAGTATGATTTCGCATGTAAATTATTTTTAGTTAGGGCCGGAACGAAAGAAAATAATAACTTCGAAGGAATAAAATCTTAGATAACTGAAATACAAAATCTCCAATCGAAGTCATTTCGATGTAGAATCTACCGAGGTCGTCTGTCGGTTCATAGATTTCTTTTTCTCTCGTAAGATTTCCTCGAAGCATTTTTCATACCTTGTTTCGTTGGCGTCTGTTTTCTCAAATGTGTAACCCTTTTTTCAGTTCCTATTATTAGTTCAAGCTCTCCCTGTTGAAAATGTATTATTTATTTTTATTTTTAATTACATGTTGCAAACTTTAAATTTCAGATGGTAACGTTAGTAATAAAATCGTATTATTTTTCAATTACTACTTAGTCTTTTGCGAATGGCAACAGCGGTGTTCTGTTCGATTGTTTATGTTTAAGAAGAAAAGTTAAAATAAAGTTATTTTTTAATCAGTGATCTTTGAAATTATTTATATCCCTTTTACTTCAAATTGCTAGCCACCATTGCACGAGTTTTAATTAAAACTACTTCGATTTTGAAACGTGGAAAAAATGACTTGGTGTCCTTATAATATTTTTGAAAGCTAAGAAAATTAGTTAAAATTTTCTTTTGGAAACTTTAACACTCCCTATATATATATATATATATATATCTTGTTTAAATTTTCAATCGTTAATAAAAAACTTTTTATTCATCCTCTCAAGTTCAGATACATTTTTTAAAACTTGTAGTGGAGGACACTTGATGTTAATGCAGTTTTTTCAAATATTACTTCTATAAATTAAATGAATAAATAGTTGCAAACAAAAATAATAGTCCAACACCTTATATAAAAAGGCAAATCGCTTGTTATGTCCCTGTGTTGCATTGGATAGCGAGTTGGACTTCTTATCCAAAGGTCGTGAATTCGAATCCCACCTTGGATGGCCTAATTTCTGAGAATACGATTTCTTTTTACTATACAATTTTATTGGAATAATTAAATTTAATGAATGAATACATAGTATAACAAACAAAAATAATAGTCCAACACCCTATATACAAAGAAAAATGAAAAATTGCAAGGAAAATCGCTTTCTATTTTGTGACTTAATAGTGTGATTCTGTCCTATGTTTATAGATATTTATATTACTTGTAACTCTTTAATAAAAAGTAACAAAATTAAAATTTTTCTTTGTTGACCTATAAGTAGGAATTGACATAATTTATTATTATTATTATTATTACTTGTTCAATTAAAATAAGGCCTTCTGTTAAATTCGCAACCGCCTTTCGATCTTCTGATTGAACTGGGTCTAAAGATTCAAGTTCGTCAATGTCTTTCTCGTTCATTTCTATGAACTCATCAATTGGCAGCCCCAGAATGTAGGAATTCAGCAGTTCTTGAACAAAAATAGAAATTATAACATGTAATAACAAACACATACTCCGTAGATAAGAAAAAGATAACACTGCATCGATACATATGAACTTGTGCATCAACTAAACAAGAAGAGGAGAGTGAGTAATCGTGTTGTGTAGCGCTCGAACACAAGAAGGATTTGAAAATCGCGTAACTCTAGTTTCGCATAAGTCGGGCAGTGAAAGTCTTTGAAAAACGATGTTTTTCATTGAATTCATAAAAAAAGGCTATGAAAGAAAACCATATCTTTTAAAATTAAAATTCAATGTTTTCTTTCAAGCAATTGATCCCATGGTTCAAAATTACGTGGTCCGTCGCCAAAAGCCCTCGTGTAGCTGAACAGTGCGACGTTAATATTCAATCAAGCAATTGATCAAGCTATTAAATATGTCTTAACATAATAATGAATCTACCTGTGACATAATGGAGGGAGGGGGGTGACATTCTATTTTTTTTTTTTTTTTGTGTGTGTGTATTATTAAAGAATTCAATAATATCCAATGATAATATTGAATATATACTCTCTACAATAATATTTTAAAAATAACAATAATACAGTGAGGCTCAAATGCGCGTGTGTGTGTTTAGCGCAGTGATCTTCAAACTGTGTGTTCCATGGGACCCTGGAGTTCCACAAGGCACACCTCGAGTCACAACAAACAAATCGAAAAGAAACTTATAAATGTGTATGCACACTGCGAAAAACCGGTATTCCGAACTGAGTACAAAATACTCACTTTTAAATACGTCACATACTCAAAATAGCTCCGATGCAAACATACTCAAATTTGAGAATAGCCCATTCTTATCTTTGGCAACGACTACGTACTCAAAATTGTAAACATCACATACTCATTTTTGAACCTGTTACTGGATCAAATTTGAGAATATAACAGCAAAATGAGTGCGTAATGTACTCATGTATGAGTTTTTATGGGTCAAATATGAGTATGTATCGTTTTTATTTTATGGTTTGTGTATCCAATACGAATTTTTAACTTACAAATATATATCAAATCAAATTTAAAGGGATCTAAATATGTGTGATACTTAAGTTGTAAATTTCATTTTTTCCATCTTATAAATTATTTAATCTACATTTTACGAAGCTTTTACCACTTTACTTCGAAGATCTAAATTCTTTTTGCATTTATTGTGTTACTTGCATATCATCGCAAAAGTGTCAACATTCAAGATAATTCGCCATGTCTCTTACGCGCAGAATTAACAACCATGTACTTCGTTTTATATAATGTCGCCAATGTTTTTGAGGTGATACACAAGTTCCAACAAAAATATAATTTTTGGTTTAAAAATGCAACTGCTATGTGATCATAAACTGTATTATTTTTGAACTTATACCTCAAATTTTAATCTTTGAAAATAACAAAAAAGATTCGATGCTATAGTTAAACAAATGAGTAAGCAATTTGGCTCATTAAAAGTTATATTTATATTTCTAGAAGCAATATATTGTCTTTAAAATCTAATACAAACAGAAAATTAACTTTTATTTAAAATCAATCTTTCAATAAGTATCTTGGAAACATTATTCATTAAGAAGTGTCTTGGAAACATGATGAATAACAGACTTTTCATATTAAAAATTTCTAAACATAAAAGTAAGAAAGGAATGGTTTCTTAACATATTATGTAACATGAAAAAAAAACTTAAAATAAGTCTCATTAGGCCCCCAAGTAAGTAAGTATTTTTTTATCAATTGTTTTGTTTAAATCGATTCATACACAACTTCTGCTCTCAATACTTATCAACCAAGCTACTGGGACTCCCTTTTAATCCATCCAGATGGAATTAAAAATGTATTGTAACATATGTTACAAATCAAACTCACTTTTATATTATTAACTGATTTTATACTCATCACCAAAGAAAACAAATATTGTAGTTTTTAAGTTAATATTTTTTTAAATCAAAATATTTAAAAAGTTTAGGCCTTAGAAGAATGTAAAAACAACTAAAACGGTAGAATTTTACATTTACAAAACATTGGAAATTCATAAATTTTTAACCAACTGGAAAGAGTTTTTAGAGACGTTTTCAGCACTCATTTAGAAGAAAAAATAACATCTATGGACCAGTCGAACCATAATTTAGCCATTTTACTAGTGTACAGCATTTTTTTTTAATGATTAACTGCAAACAAGAAAAATAAAACTAACCAAATCATATTTTTGAAATATTTATTCTGGAAATTGTTCACATACATATCAGACATTTAAAAAAACAAAAGAATACAAGTGTAATTTTTGAAACAACATGCCACTATAAGTTATTTTTTATTGAATTTTTTTGTAAACACTATCTAAAATGCATATTATCATCAACTCCATCTTTATTTGTACAGCATAGCTTATATTTTTAATTGATATACATCAAATCTTTTTAAATGTGGGAAGTTCTAATGTGTAAAGGAACATGTAATTAAACAGATTTTTTTTATTTTTATGAAATCAATAGCATAAGTGAAAATGCCTTTCAAACAGTGTTTCAAATAAATTATTTGTTAGGATACATGAATCATCTAAATTATATACTGAAGAATTTATAGATAGCTGGTTCTGAGAGGAATCTTAATTACAATTTGCTGTCAGTGAAAAAAGAATTATTTCTGATTGATTTTCTATCGTGGCCATGCAAATTTTCATTGTAAACATCTGCAATAAAACATACAGCCGTCAAATTATTTAACCTCTCTATAAACTATTTTCATTTTGCTGCCATGCGTATCGCATTTCATGATGGCCAAAATAAGCAAATTCTCAATCTAGAATAAGATTTTAAAAAAAAAATTATTAGGAAACAAAGACAGAAAGTGCGAATTTGGTAATCCCTTTAGTCCATAAAAATTTTAAGCGGAGTGGCAATATTCTTTTAATAAATGAGAAGATCTTAGTACTCACCAATAATATTTGAAATATCCATTTATGAATAAACAACAGAAGACTAAAACTTTCACTTTTACAATCTAGACAACGGAAAGCATGGAAATGTTTAAGTTTGTGAAAAAAATCTACTTAAAATTGTCTGAAATTAATAAGGATACTGCAGTAAATATAAATCAATAAAAATTCTTTTTAATATCCTAGAATAATAATATCAAACAATATACACAATAAATAAAATAAAATTACAAAAGAATAAAATTAAAAAATAATGGATGGCAACCACAGAACCAAATTTAAATGTATTGGTAACCGTATTGTAATGTTATTGCCCTACTTGACAATTGTCAACAACAACACTTGGTACATAGTATCCCAATATCAAATTAGAACATTAATTTCAATACTCAAAAACTAAAAACAACAAGCTGTCTCCTTTCCCCTCCAACCTGAAATTTATAAAAAAAAGTTATTTAAGGATGGTTTCTGTACCTATCTTGTTTTTCTGCTTTTGTAATTCCATGGAAGAAAACTTGATAATAAAAGTCAACAAGTATAATTGAATATGAATAAGTATTATGATAATTTTCTGAGATACAAGTCTGTTTATTTTTTCCGCACTGAAACAATTGAGGAACAGCTTTAGGAATTAGTTTTCAACGTCTCATTATCTAAAAATTAGAAACTTTCTTCATCTATGCTTTAATCTGTTAAAAAAATATTTATGTCAATAGATATATTTTTCCAGCTAATACAGTAGAAATAAAAAAACCAAAATCTTGATCTAAGTGAAAAAATGCAAAACCTATAATTGGAATAAGAATTGCTTGCTTTATTATTATGGTGCTTTCTGTATGTCAGACTGAATAGATTTCTTGCATGTTTCACCTCATGTGCAACATACCTGCATACAGAAGTTTTTGTACCAAAGCTTTATTAATTTTTGTTACTTACATATTATCGAAACTGTTTTGGCAAAATTATATGAAATAAAGCACTTGGTTGTGT